ACGTGGCGTCAAGTCCCAGCTGGACCAACTACGGCCTTGAGCAAGCGACTGCGAACAGAGGCTGCAGACAACCAGAGCTTGCACAACTTGTTCTGTCTGCTTCATGAGCTTGTTGGTGGAAGATCTTCGTCAACAGCAAAGCCCCAGCGCTTCACCGGAAGCTGGGACTGCAGCGTGATGAGGTGGGAAGATAATGCTTCTGGCTTAGTGAGGCTTGAGTTGGAATCCTGGATTCTCTCCTTCACCGCTGTGTGACCTCAGGAAAGCCACTCACCCTCTCTGGGCCTTCTTTTGCTGGTTGTGGATGCAGGTACTATCCACGCAGTTTTGGGACGGTTAAACGTCCCAAAACTGATGAATTGATGTTGGGGAGGCGCTTGGCACAGCGAAGATGCTCATCCAATCAGGGCTGCTCTCTTTGTTCAGCGGAGAAGACATTTAAAGCTGTCTATGAGCAACAACTTCATCCTTAAAAATACCCTCAGAACCCAGACGCAACCTGCCCCTCTCTCTGGCACCTGGCTGCCACATCGTGACCATTCTCCTGCCTCCTGAGTCCTCTCCCAGCAGCCTCGACTGCCTGGCACGTTGCTGGAACCCCACGCCGGGTTCTTCCCAGGCTTCTGGAAGGATCGCATGCCTCCTGACACCCCGCTGCCTCGTGAACTCATTAGCATGGGTGTCAGGGAAGCCGTCTCCACGAGCCCCGCGGATCAGATCGGCCCAGCGATTTCAGGGGACAGGCGGCTCCGTGGGGAGGGAGGCGCTTCTTGGAACCGGCCGCCCCAGCAGCCCCGAGGGTCCCCCGGGGCTGTGCCTCGTTAGCAAAGTGGCTTTTCTTTCTTTCTTTCCTTTTTGTAGATGATATCTCCACCTTTCAGTATTTTTAAATAAGCTTTTATTTTTAGCTTTTCATCTCTGGGTCTCTGCGGCTCGAGTTACTGAAGCCGCTCTGACCGCCCCTGGAGGCCCCGGGAGGAACCAGGTTGCTGTAAGGAGGGGCCGAGACCGGGGCTCAGGACGACAGGCGGGCTGTCCCACGGTTCTGGAGGCTCCGGGTCCGAAGCCAGGCGGCGGCAGGGCCAGGCTCCCTGTGACAGCGTCCTTGCCTCCTCCGAGCTTCCGATGGTCCCTGGCGGTGCTTGGCCTTCCTTCCCTGGCAGATGCAGCGTCTCGATCTCCGCCTCTGTCATCACATGGCTTCTCCCCGTGTCTGTGTCCCCATCTGTGTTCAGATTTCCCTCTTCTTCTAGGGACCCCATTCAGTGCATTCGGGCCCACCCTGAGCCGGGATGACCTCATCTTAACGTGATTACATCTGCAAAGACGCTGTTTCCAAAATAACGTCACAGTTACGGGTCCTGGGGTTAGCACTTCCACATCTTTTTCCGGGGGACACGATTCAGCCCATAACAGGAAACCACCAGTGTGAACATGGCCCAAAGTGCCGGGCACTGGGGAGGGCATGTGGCTGTGCTTAAGCGGTTAGGGCCACAGGCCTCAGTTCCACTGGGATGTCCCCGCACGGGTTCGTACCTGCCAACCTGGGGGAAGTCGCTGCTGGTGGAAGGGGCGCTGGCCTGAGACCCGAATCTTAAATTTGAATCCCAGCTCTGCCCACAAAGAAGTGTTGTGACCTTAATCTTATTTCCTTTGGAGTCTCAGTTTCCTTCACACACACACACTTATTTATACGTGTATATATATAAGGTGTGCATACACACATTTACATTCACAAATATATATATAATCTGTTTAGCAATGTATTTTATATGTTCAATAAATAATTATCTGTTTTTCCCTCTGACCTTTAGTTTCCTTAATATATATGCACACACATATATACACATGCACACACACACCACACTCCTACATCCATATATATTCGCAAGTACATATACTGTGTTAGCAAAATGTCTTACATGGTCAATAAATAACAACAAATGTTATTATCTGTAGCACGGGGCAGGGGTGTCTTATTTCTAAGTTACTCCTCAATTCTGTCTTATCTCTCAGATGCCCTTCAGCTCTGAAATTCTAGGACTCAGACTAAAGAGGCAGACAGGAGCACAGGGCCGTGCTGTCCAAGATCCCCTGTTTCGTGTGACAATAGATAATAAAGTCTCTCCTTTTCTGTGCAGAAGCTTTTAATTTTGATGTCGTCTCACTTGTCTATTTTTGCTTTTGTTGCCTGTGCTTTTCGTGTCATATCCATGGTCGTGACACTGGCAAGACCAATGTCATGAAGCCTTTCCTCTATGTTTTCTTCTAGAAGTATTAGTTTCAGGTCTTACATTTAAGGCTTTAATCCATTTTGAGGTTTGTTTTTGTTTTTGTTTTTTGCTGAAGAAGAGTTGCCCGGAGCTAACATCCATTGCCAATCCTCCTCTTTTTTTGCTTGAGGGAGATTAGCCCTGAGCTACACTTTGGGTAGATTTTTGTGTATGGTGTCAGATAAGTGTTCAATTTCAAGGAAAACAATCAGGGAGAGAAATCTCCAATTTACGGAACAGGAGAAGACTTTTGCAAACCATATACCTGGTAAGGGGTTGATTTCCAAAATATATAATGAACTCCAACAACTTCAGAGCTCAAAAACAAATAACCCAATTTAAAAAAATGGGTAAAGGACTTGAATAGACATTTCTCCAAAGAAGATATTCAGATGGCCAATAGGTCTATGAAAGATGCTCAGCATCCCTAATCATCAGGAAAGTGCAAATCAAAACCACAGTGAGAGATCACCTCACACCTGTCCCGATGGCCACTATCAAAAAACTCTAAGACAGCAAGTGTTGGTGAGGACGTGGAGAAAAGGGAACCATTGGTGGGAATGCAAAATGGTACAGCTGCTATGGAAAACGGTATGGAGATTACTCAAAAAATTAAAAATAGAAATATCATATGATCCAGTAATCTCACTTCTGGGTATTTACCCCGAATAATTGAAATCAGGGTCTTGAAGAGAAGAGATATTAACACTGCATGTACATTGAAGCGCTATTCATAAGAGCCAAGATTTGGAAACAAACGTCATTGGTGGACGAATGGATGTAGCAAATGTGGTCTGTCCACACAATGGAATATTATTCAGCCTTAAAAAAGGAAGGAAGTTCTAACACATGCGACAACGTGGACGGACCTCGAGGACATTATACTAATTGAAATAAACCCATCACAGAAGGACAAATTGTGCATAATTCCACTTAAATGATGTACCTAGAGTAGTCAAATTCATAGAACCAGAGAGTGGGATGGTGGCTGCCCTGCCTGGGGGGGAAGGAAAGTGGAGAGTTGCGAAATCGGCAGCATAAAGTTTCCGTTTAGCAAGATAAATCAGTTCTAGAATCTGCCGCTCAACACTGTGCCTGTAGCTAATAATACTGTATTACGCACTTAAAAATTTGTTAAAAGGGTATATTTTATTTTGTGTTCTTATCACAGTAAAAAAGTCCTCCCTTTTGAGAAAAGAAAATAGCAACACAGAAACATAAATCTTCCTGTAATAAAGGAATCAGATGTTAATTAAGGGAAATCTATGGAGCAAATGATGTGGGCCGAAAATTCTTCACTCGTTTGGGTCTGTGCAGTCAAGCCCTTCCGTGGGCTGAGACAGCTGAGTTCAGGAACCAGCAAACGAGACCCTGGCCTTGGAGAGGAAGCCCTCCTGTGAGTTTGAATTTGACCACGCTCTCTTCTCTATCAGATGCAACAGACACCTCCATTTTACTTTCCCACCAGGGATAAAAGAATTAATGCATGCAACATGCGTAGACTGGGGCCCGGCATACAGTAAGTGCTCAGTAAGTATGAGCTTATCCAATGGAAAAAGACGAGGACTTTCTTGCCTTCCAGCTGGCTTCCAACAGCCATTGCGTCTGCCCGTCTAAATGGCAGGGCTGCCTGCTCGTGCAGTCATCAAAGTGTGCGAAGCCTGTCTGGATGTTGTGACGAGTCATAAAACACAGCCACCGCAGGAGACAGCCAAGTCTTTGAATGGTACTCAGTGTTAATCACATCCGGTGAGGCTGAGTTTACAGTAAACCTACTGGGGTTCTATTTTTTTCTTTTGGTCTAAAGTGAAACTCTTCATTCCCCAACATTATCAAGACCTCAGTGTGGCTCCTGGAGCTCGACTGGCCGTGCCCCTAGTGGAGCTGTTCATGACACACTCATCTAAAATACTAGGGCTGGCAACAGTCTCCAAACCCCAAATAATGGGTGAGGCTTTGCTCCGTCTGCGCCGCCTCCTGCTTTCTCTAAGCAATGGTTCTGGACCCTCGCTGTGCATCACAGTCCCTGGGGAGCTTTTAAAAACTCCACTGCGTGGGCTACACCCCAGACCAGCTGCATTAGAATCTCCAGTGGGTTTTCAAACTTCCCAGGTGATTCCTAAGCACGAGCAAGGCTGAGACCCCTGGACCCCCATGCTCCATCTCCGCTGCCTGGTCAGAACAGTAACTCCTCCATTTGTAGAGTGGCCTGGAAAGCCTTTTTTGAATTTTATGGCAAAGAAACCCCCGAAAGGTGGTTTTTTTTTTTTTTTTTAATTTATAATCTAAACATTTGTTTTGGTGGCTCCACATAGACGAGGCCAAAAAGAGTTAAACCCACCCTATTCAGCGTCCTGTGGACTGTGCCATTTTAGGCAGTTAAGGAGTCAGGCAGGTCTGGGTTTGCCTCTGGCCTCCACTGTTGACTAGCTCTATGATCTGGGGCCATGGTGTCACCTCTCTGAACCTCGGTATCTTCTTCTAATAACGGAGACAATAACGTTGTGCTACTTGAGGGAGAAGAGAGGGACATCTGGGACCTTCCTGATAAATTTACCGTAAATGTTGTAGTATGCATGCTCCCCGGCCGTGTTAGCTGCTGTCATGCGATGGTAATAATAACAAGCGCTCCCAAGGGGTGGAATGCCTCCTCCTGGCGGCCCAGCCCTCCCCCGTGAACAAGAGGAAGCGAACCGCGTGTGCGTCAAGTCAGTAAACGGGACTCACAAACGCAGTGGGGCAGGCGGGACGTCCAGATGGGAGTGCCGGTTTCGCGGCTGTAGCAGGTCAGCAGGGAGCTCCCTTCGAGCACAAAGCCGGGGTTGCAGGTGTACTGGATGGTGGTGCCCACCAGCAGCACAGGATCCGAGATCAAGCGGGTCGAGTGGTCCACCTCTCCGGGGTCGGTGCAGTACATAACTACACGAGACGGAACGAGAGCAAGTGGGCGTTAGGGCTCTTGAGGGTCGCAGGTGCGCGGAGAAGTACAGGACGATCTACCAAGTTTCCTAACTTAGTTCGTTTCCCGTTTGGAAGATAACGCACCTGTGCTCATCAAAGGTGGCTGGTTGTCCATCGCGCCATTATTTGTAATGGTAAAAAAAAAAAAAAAAAAAAAAGAAAGAAAAAGAAAAACGGAAAAAAAGAGACAATGCCAATCTTTTAACAGAGAAAATATTAAAGATCATAGAACAGCCATTCCAGGAGGTCCTGAGCAAGAAAGTGAGCAGGGGCCTTCACGGCTTTCTCTTTGTGGCCTGAATATAGTAAAACGAGCATCCGTTACTTTTTAAATTAAAAAATCGATCTACATAAAGGAAAACAATGTCAATTCAAAAGGAATGAAGTAGACAATATGCACATTAGGAAAAGATATCCATCTTCCTGAGTTGAAACAAAGCCAGTTGCAAGGCAGTTTGTATAAATTGATCCCTATTACGGCAAAATACCTCTATCCGCGGCTATTTCTATACGTACATCGATGTATGTCTCTATGCACGATCCATCCACACACAAATGCATATGTGGAACACACACGTATGGGCACATGCAATTGGAACAACAGAGAATAAATTTTAAGAGTGGCACCATTTCTCGCGAGGAAGACCAGAAGGATTTTCACTTTCTGCCTCATCATTTTACTACTGCTTACGTACTATAAGCATTTGCCACCTGTGCAATTTTAAGACATGGTTATGCACATCTTTTAGTCAAAGAGCGCAGCTTAACCAATGAAAAGCGGCAACAGCATCCGGGGACTTCTGCGGGGCTGCCCCGCGGCTCTAAGGAGGTTGTGCTGCCCTCGTTTCGCTACAAGAGGCAGCTTGATGGGTAGAGAGCCCTACACGGAAGGGGCCCAAGCCAACTTTATGTGCTCTAATTTGGCAAAAATTGAGGCAGGTGAAAAGATTTTCCCATAAGAGCTAGTTTATGTTCCCTTCAAGCCTTTAAAATGTTTTAAATAATAACAATGATGATGTAGATCATATTAATGAGTTCATGATGGGTCTTTCTGCCACCCTGCGGTGCTTCTCACTGTCCATTTTTATTTTCTATAATGATACACACACACACACACACACACACATCCTACATTCTGTGGCGGAACAAACAGATGTGTTTATATAAGTAGCTGGTTTTGTGGATCTTTAGCAAGTTCTTTCGTGCTTCCCGCGATTATAATTAATTTTCTTTGATTTTGGGATGTTTATGATAGGATTTATATGTAACCACCACACTCTTTCCCCAATACCCTCTTTCTCTGCTCACACTTAATATTTCTTATTGTGTAATTGGTGATTCAAGTCACACTGAATACTTTGGTCTGACAAAGTGTCACCAAGGATTCCCAGTAAGAGGGTTGCTGACCGGAGCTTTATGGGGGAGCTGGGAGGCAAACGGCTGGGGGCAGAGGCCACCTCCAAATTTAGCACCTCCCACCTCCCTGCTACTAAGGCATCAGTGTAGAAACCAGAAGTACTGCCTTTTCCGACCCCTTTTGAAGACACGAGACTGAGCGAACACCAGTCACGCCTAGTCCACACTCCTGGGGGGAGCAGGAGCAGAGTGCAGGCAGAAGGAACCAGGAGAGTGGGATGGCTGCTGTTTGGATGAAGTTGGTTACCCACTAGAGGGGCTTCAAACTGGGCCTCCAAGGGCCGACTTAGGTTTGTTTTGCTTGGCTTCTACAGGTATTTTAAAGGCCTGAATCTGAATGATGTTTTTACACAGGCTACATACATTCCCCCTCCCCGCAGTCCACACCACTCCCTATTGTCTCACACCCAGCCGATTTCACTCATTTACATTATCTGCCAGGCTTCCGAAGGCACCTGAGCCTGAGAGGCCTGCCCGAGGGCTATAAAATGACACTTGTGAGCAGTGCCAGTGAGTGGTAGCGTGGGAGAGAGGCCAGATTAGACATTAAATAACTCCACTGCATCCATGCCAAAAAATCCTCTGTGGGAGGGATTTACCACCCACTGACCTAGAGGAAGAAAACAAGAATTCTCTTACTTTTCTCACAAAATGGGGGGTCGCTGCTCCAGCTGAGGTCCCACTGGCAGGTGAGGGTGTCACTCCCCACGATGTCGTAGCCAGGGTCACACTGGTAGGTGATTCTGGCGCCCCTCACAAGCTCCGTGTGAGAAGTGGTTTTCCAGCCGTTCTGGATCTCGGGCAGATCTGAGCAGGAGTCATTCCTTGACACCTCTTTAAAACAAAAAACATCATCCTGAGATGGGGAGGTGGCCTTTTTGTTTGGAGCTCCTTTTATGAATGTCAGAGGAAAGGGAAAATAGAAGATAAGGCCTCTGGAAATGAGTGACACAACTTTAGAAATCCCTTAAACCACAGGAACTCTTCCATAGTGAGATTTTATAATGATCTCTTCCCGTGGGCCATTGGACTTACCAAACCTTCTCTTGGTTGGATAAAGTCAGTTTAGGATTTAGAGTCAGATGGCATCTTAGATCTGCCGCTTACTAGCAACGTGACTGGGGTGCAGTCACTTCTTCTCTCTGCATCTCAATTTCCTCACCTTCCAGGAGAGCCTCATCCTAATCAGGCCTGCCTCACTGTGGTTGCCAGCTTCCAAGATGTCCTCTGGTTAGCCTCACCTCCTGGGATCCACATTCTTGTGAAGGCCCCGCCAGCACTAAAGATGGCTGCCATGCATCACCAATAGGCTATTGGAGAAGCGATGGTGTGTGACTTCAGAGGCTGAGTCATGAAAGGTGCTGAGGTTCTCTCCCTGCTCTCTCTCATATCACTTTCTCTGGAGGGAGCAGCAGCCATGTTGTGAGGATGCTCAAGCAGCCTCTGGAGGCATCCATGTGGACAATGGCATTGACTTGCTGGCCCCATGAGCAAGCCTTTTTAGAAATGGAGCCTCCAGCCCCAGTCAAACCTTCGGATGACTGCAGCCCTGGCTGACATCTTGACTGCAGCCACGTGAGAGATCCCAAGTCAGAGCCATCCAGCATTAATCCTGAATTCCTGATGCAAGGATGTTTTGGGGAAGGAGGTTAATTTGTTCCACAGCAATGGGTAGCTAATGCACTCAGCCTCATCCTAAGAATATCCATAAATATATAGGTTTGATAGATTAGTAATATATATATTTTTGTAATACAGTTTGAGATGAATACTTAACTATTGAAATGAAAATAATTATTGGCGCATTCTTCAAATTACATTGCATCAGTGAACGTTAACCACACTGCAGAAAATGTTACACACAGCTTATCATCACAGAGTCTTCCTCTGGAATAATTCCATTTTCCTCCTACAGACCTTCATTACTAAGGCAGAAAGCCAGAGCCCATTATTAATTCCTTGCTTCCAAGTGTCCACTGCACAGATTTTGAGAAGAGAGCTCCTTATGCCGTATAATTAATTGGCAGCTCTGATGTGCTTCTGGGGAGAGCAAAGCACCTCCATTGTCTGCGGGAAAGTCATTCTCAGAAACAAGCAATGGCTTTTCCCAGGATTCCATGACGATTTTATTTGGGGAAAGGAGATCTCATGGGTGTCTGCAAGAAGAAGAGGAGAGGGAAATGGCTTCAAGAATTGTGTGGAGGGAGCAGGAGCCTCTATTTTTAGGTGTTTGAAATATTAGCCAAGCCCTGCATTTGGGACACAGCTGCAAATGCTCAGACTCTGGATGAAAGGGGAGAAATGGGGGCAAGAACCAGCTACGTGGTCCGCCGTGCGTCAAATGCTCTGAGACGGAGAAAGCTTTGATTGTCTGACTTTTCAGTCTGGGCTGACATGGCCACATGTTCCAGTGGGACCTCCCGTCTCCTTTGCGGCATGCATCTTGTTTCTGATTCCTCAGCTGCTGCCACCATGTGGCAGAGCCTTGACTGAAATCTTGGCCCCACTGTTTCCTAATTCAGTGGCCTTGGCTAAGTCACTTAGCCTGCCTGTTCTCCGGTTCTCAGACTCCACTCCCTGAGACCCTGATTAAGGAACCTGTGTGTTCACCAAACGCCATAGGTGGAGGTGCTGGAATAATCTTACTTTGCTAAGAACGAGAAAACTGGCCTAGGAGGTAGAGGACTTCCCTTCTAGTCCTCTTTCTTTCTTTTAGATGCTGTGTGACTCCAGTCACGTCAGTTAATGCCTCTGAGCCTCACCGCCCTCAATCCTAGAGTGGAGACAAGAACACGACCTTGTCTATCACAAAGGGCAAGGTGAAAGGTAATTAATGTGCAGGAAAGGACAGTAACACTAAGATGAGTTGTATGGATGCATTGATTTCTCTGACTAAGATTTTGTGAGCACGTGCTATATGCCAGGCACGAGGAATACAGGGATCTGAAGTCATGGTTCCAGTCCCATGGTCAAGAGCAGCACCATGGTCCAACTTTTGGGCAAAAGAAATACCCAAATGCACTGAATAGATGCCACCATTTACCAGTCTTATGCTCATGGCAGATATCACTAATCAATCATGGCAGTCTCTTTCTTTGAATGAAGCTGAAATCTCCAAATCTTTCTCAATAGAACGCTCCAGGGAGCTACTGTCATTGGATTGGAATTGACCTACGATATGGAGCTTACTTATTATGCTAGGATGAGAGAAATAAAGGCACAGTGACCAAATCTCTTTGAGAAACACTGCTTTGCTTACTCATCTCTGCTTTTTTATTCTTTTCCCTCCCGTGCGCTTGGCCACAGACGCTAGCAAAGCACAAGAAGCAGCGAGGAGAAGAATTCTTTGCTTCTGTCTGTGCAAAGGAGAATTATGGGAGGTCAGAACCATGTGGCCCAGAGTGTTCCGTGGAAGGTTCTGACAGCAGTCACAGCAGATAAGCCCTGGCCATCTTCCAGAGCTGGATGTAGGCCTTGAGATCAGTTCAGGAGCTTCAAAATTCTTTAGATGACCACAGAAACCCCTAACCCTTCCATTTTACCCCTCTACTGAGTGGGAATTGCATCTAGATGGGGTTAAATCTAGACCCAGGACAGCAGATCCAGTCCCATGCCACAGCAGACATCACCAATCCATCTTGGCATTCTTTCCCACTGACTTCAGGCACGGTCTCCTCTGAGTTCTCTTCGACATGGTCTTCAACACAGGTAGCCACAAGCAAGTGATTGGCATCAAAATTACGTACAGAAGCCCACTTGCCTTCACTGTGAAATGAACTGTGTGCTTCTTTAAGAGAAAGAAGAGCAAATGGAACTCTTCTCTCTGTTTGTGTTACCCACACTAGCCAGGCTGCGTGTCCCTGGGAAGCGTTCCCGGAAATCCGGTGCTTGCCTCTCCCGCAGCATCAGCACACGATCCTGATGTTGTCTGTTAATGGGACTTCCTCTCCTATTTTCAGCAGCTGGCTCAAGAACAAGGAGAGAGTATTCTATTCATTCCCATATCCTGGTACCCAGTGTAGGGCCAACCACATAGGAGATATCAAGAGATTTTTGTGAACCAAACTCTCTGGAAAGTGGAGATAATGCATTTGAAGAAGAGATAGTATACGTAGGAGTGCTTGCCAGCTTTACATTGCCACATAAATCTGTTTCGGCTTCAGTTCTCAAGAGCGCCTTGTCTTCAAGATGTTGCCAGACTGAACATTGGCCAGACCTACTGGTTAACCTTGGGCCGCCTTGGATAGAGTCAGATTTCTGCCAGCAAGCTGAATGCGGATTTGGAAAACTGACTCAGGCACCAGAGGAGACCAGTGAGCAAAACTATGACCTCATCTTCCAGCGGGGAGGGAGGAGAAGTCTAAGGAGATAGATTGAAGCCAGGTCACCGAAACTCTCCCTCAATGGCAGCTGACCCTGGAGGGCACTCCATCCGGACAGCACCACAAGCCATCCGCCTATGCCCAGGGCATCACCCAGTAAAGAGTGGGGAACCCGTGAAAAGTAGCATCAAGAATACTCTGAAAATACTTAGCAGCATAATTAAGGGTTAAAAGGCCCCCGGGAAACATAAAAATGATCAACACTTGTGTTTGCCTCTCTGAGATGTGCACGCAGAGCAGGCAGGGATGAGAAACGTCCACCAGCTGGAAATAAAAATGCAGGGGCCTTATTTTTTGCACACATGAGGCTCCTTGAGACAGCCAGTGGTCCAGGAGCAGCTTGTATTTTAGAGGCAGGAGGTGGTGTAGAGAGACCCTTTTATCTTAGATAGAGATGGGCAATCTTCAAGCCAGGGGAAGAAGGAGCCAAAGACATGGGAGTCTTGCTCCCGTCAGTGAGTCGTTGGGGGTGGGCGTGGAAGCAGCAGACTCGGCAGGACGCCTCCTCCTTTTCCCTGTTCCCTCTTGGAAATCAAGATGTCAACCTTGTTCCTGGGGGGCACAAACATGTCCCCTCATCACCGGCTGAATCCTTTTCATTGAAATCCTAAGGGAGCAACCATCCACCATCAAGGATGCCAGGAGAAGTTAGGTCTTCACTGCCCCCTTGTGTCTCCCAGGTTCTCCGCTGTTGCTGGGGATGTTGTGGGTAGAGAAACCCTGAATGCCAGGAACCAGGAAGCCCGGGTGTGAGCCTCAGCTGGGCCCCTGATGAGAAAGTTGCTTATCCTTGGTGTTCCAGGGCTGCTTCTGCTGTGACACGACAGGGCTGGACCAGATGCTCTGTCAGCTCAAGTCCCTTCCGGGGCTGGGATCAGTGGGACTTCACAGTGTTCTGGTCCCCTGACTGCTGGGGAAGATGGAAGCTTGGACCAGGGCGGTGGCCTTGGAAAGATGGAGAGAAGTTCTTGGATTTGAGACATACTGTAGAAGCAGAGTAGAGAGGATGGATGGATTGGCTATGGGGTGAGGAAAGAGGAAGCATCTTAAGAAACCAGGAGAGTTGTGGTTCCATCTCCTGGGAGGGGCAGACGGCAGGTCAACAGTTGGCTGAGGGTGGGTAGAGAAATAAATACTTCTGTTTTGGCCATGTTAAATCTGAGATGCCAAATACACGCAAGAGGGTAGTCTGTAGGGCACTGGATAGATGAATCTGGAGTTCACGGGAGAGGTCAAGGTTGGAGGTACAAATTGGAGGTCAACAGAATATAGATATTCTTTAAAACCATGGGCCTGGATGAGAGCACATGAGTGAGCCTAGATAGAGACGAGGACAAGGTTCAGGGTGGAGCTTGGGACCCTCCAGTCTTCAGAGGTTGAGCAGAGGAGGGTGAGGGAGCCAGTAATGAATAAGGGAGAGTTACAGGGTTGGGAGTGAGGAGGAAAGGGTGTGGCTGGATGGAACAGCAAGAAGGGAGTATTATATGGTCATGTGTGAACTTAGCTTGAATTTGATAGCAGGAAGTTTTTGTGGTGTTTTTAAGATGAGGGGGAGAGCAGTGGTTTGGAAGCCACACTGAGGATCAAGGACATCTCTTGCGTCCATAGGTCTTAAAGTACGGGAAGTGGGAGAGAAAGGGCTGTCTCCATTGTGTGGGGCCACAGGGGAAGGAGAGTTTTAGGGAAGAGCTGAGCTTCAGTTCAGGCAAGATGGTGAAGATCATGCTTTGAGAAAGTGCAAATATAGGAGAGAGTGTTGATGATATAAAAACCCTGCTGACCACAAATAAAACACGATGAATCTTAAAGTTATGCAGCATTATCAACCAAGTCCTGATATCAACCTTGTGGAGTGGGTATCACTGTTCCCATTTTACAGATGACAAAAAGGAGGCTCAGAGAGTTTCAGTGACTTATCCAACGTCACACAGCCATTGACGACAGTACTAGGGACTCAAACCCTAGTCCGTCCAACTAGAGAGCCCAAGCTCTTAAAAACTACACATATTTACTGTGCCAATATATTAAAAGACTTGTGTAGCACAAAACCCAAACAGACATATCTAGAAGAAATTATCTTAGCCTGCATCTAAACACAAAGAAAAAAATTGACTGGATGAGACACCTACCTATGTAGTTCATGATAAACCCCTGGCCCTTCCCAAAGATGAGGCCGGCAGGGTCCGAGTGGAACTGGATGGTTAGGTCCGGTGTGGATGAGTACAGCTTCTGGGGGCCACTGTTCCCGAGGTACTGCCCCAAGATATGGGGCATGACCTCATCACCATCGTAGATGGTCAGGATGTCGCTGTTGCTCAGGTTCAGGCTTGGGGGGGGTGGCGACAGAGAGAAGAGGGGGAGGCTAGTGAGGCAAAGTTATGGGCATTCAACGAGGCTTTGATTTATTTTTTCAGGCAACACTCACTTTCTTGAGGCATACTATGTGTCAGGCCCAGGCCAGGAACTGGGGCTGAGGTGGGCATAGACTGCAAATGTGACCAGGACATGCTGATCCTTTCTACAAGCCTGGCACATAGATTTGTGGGTGGATTGAGTCTTTGAAGACTCATTCATGAAATGGTCATCCCTGCATGGAGCTCCTTGCAGAATCAAACGCTGCGTCATAAGTGGAATTGCCTTCCATGCCCCCGTCGTCAACGACCATTTCATGGGTGAAACCAAGTGTCGGGCACTGGGTTACAAGCTGGGTGAGTGACATGGGTCTGTCATTCTTTGATGCAGAACAAGTTGACTGCTTGCTTGTTGTAACTTGCATTTTTGTGTAAGGTGAAATGATCCTCCCACACATCGTGTGGCAAATTCCTCAGAATCAACCAGGTTATCTATCATGCCTGGGGGTGGGGTGACGGTGGGATGGAGACACTTTATTCATGAAATACGCTCAAACTTGCTACCACTATTCACAGCATTAAAGGATGACGCATTTTCAAAGATTCGACTGCAAGAGAGTATCTTGACGCTAAATATCTCAACGGCAATGTACAGTTAACAATCCAGAAAGCACTTCAATAGGCCACAGAAAGGTGTGCCCCCTTGGGCGTGCTGGATAAAATTGATCTCTGATTGAAAGAATGCCAGATAATTCAGCTTTGGCTGCATCAATCACGGACAGATATTAACTCATGCCTCTTTCCTTCCTTCCTCCTTCTTCCCCTTTCTCTTTCTTCCTTTCTCCCTTATGTCTTTCTCCTTTTCTTGTGTCCCTCTCCCTAATATTTTTGAGCATCTACTATGTGGCAGGCACTGTGCTGTGCTCAGAGGACAGGAAGAGTCACAGAACGGTGATCTATTTCGACTAGTAAGCCAGGGATTGTGGTAGGAGTTATGATCAAGGTAGATGTAGAGGAGAGAATCTAACTCAGATGGGGGCAGCATGGAGGCCTCCCTGGAGGAGGTGATGCTTGCTCAGGATCATTAAGAAAGAGTAGGAGACCCTGAGGCAGATAAGTTGGGGCTGGGGAGAAGGCGTGGTTCCAGAAAGAATTTGCCTGATGGTTAATGTGCCAGGGTTTGCGTATGGACATGGGAGCCTGGAGACATCTGCAGAAGCCAGATCATGAAAGCCTTAGAAAGCCAAGTTTAGGGGTTTGGATGTCATCTTGCTGGGAATGGGAGACATCAAAGGGTTTTTAACAGGAGCATCCTGACTGATAATTCAGTGCCAGAGGAGAGGCATTCCAGGAAATGGCCCTGAGCGAAGTTCCTGGAACTGACGCAGACTGACAAACGCCCTGCCCCACCCCCCCAGCTTCACCCAAGGCCCAAGCACGGTGTTGGCTGCTGGTCTGGAAGCCGGAGAAGGAGTGGAAACCACTCATGTTGGTGCTTCAAGTAGTAAGAACAAAACAACAGAAACACAGGTACGTTGCTGCAGATTTGCTCCCAGAGGGCAGGAGATGCGTTTTATTCATCACAGTATCTTCCACAGAACCTCTCACAATGCCTCACGTAAAGTTGTCCCCAAGGATGGTTTAAGGGGCTTCTAATTGCCCCCATAATCTCCGTTGGCTTCCTGGAACCACACCAAACACATCCTCTCCTAGTAAAAGCTGTCTGTCTGCTTTGCACACGTGGCTTCAAGAAGCCATGTGCTTTGCACCCTAGGCTCCTCCTACCCTCTGCCAGTTTCCAACTAGGCTACAGCCTCTAAACCCCTACTCATTGGAATTCTGGAGTTGCCACCTTCTCTTGCACACAATAGGTGCTCAATAAAGGCTACAATACGAAAAAGCCTGCCAGAGAGTCTATTTGACAGCAGAAATAGTGGGGTTGATGTCAGCTCTTGACCTATCGTAGGAAAGCACCCCTTAATTCTAAGGACCATGAAAACATCAATAGCTCATGGAAGTGCTAGATTAGGCTAGTGTGACACATGGTAGTGGTGGATGCTGACATTTATTCCTTAAGCCGACTTCATAGCCGATTTGCTGGTAACAGCGGGTTCCAGAAAGTGCGCGGCTTGGCTTTATTCTATCATCCATTTCAATGATCTAAATGCAGTAGAAGCATCTTCAAGGGTGCAAATAGCTTTCATTTTAAAACGCTAGCACAGCTTTTCATTGTAAAGCAGGAAGGAAGAGCGCTGGAAAGACTTCACTGCCTTGGAAATCAGAAAGCTTTGGTTTGATTCTTGGCTCTTACACTTTCATGGAGGGCCTGTGGTTTTTCTGAAGTTTCTTGTCTGTGAATCAGGCTTAGTATTTCCAGTCTATGTTTTGGACTTTTGGAGTGAGGTAAGACATGCGGAAGATTTGGGATCAAATTGCAGCTTCACTGACAGCACCTGAGCGAGTTTGGTAAAGTCATTTCAATGTTATGGCATGTTGCATTGTCGTTATGGACATCATCAGCATGAGCATCAGCAGCATCATCATATCACCATCACCATCACTGTCACCATCACTATCATCATCATCATCATCGTCATCACCATCATTATCACCATCATCAACACCATCACCATTGCCTCCATCATCACCATTGACATCATCACATCACCACCACCATCATCATCACCATCATCAACACCATCACCATTGCCTCCATCATCACCATTGACATCATCATCATCATCACATCACCACCACCATCATCACCACCACTATCATCATTGTCATCATCATTGTCATCATCATCATCATCACCATCACATCACCACCACCATCATTGCCACCACCACCACCATCATCGGAACCATCATCATCATCATTATCATCATCATCATCATCATCATCATTCTCTCTTTGGATTGCTGTTTACATTAAATGACATCGGATGACTTATGTCAGTGGTTCTCACCTAGGGCTGATTTTGCCCCCCAGGGGATATACGGGAATGTTTAGAGACATGCTTGCCCCAACCATGGGGTGCCGCTGGTGAGTCCATGTCAGGGATACTGTTAAGCATCCTACAATGCACAAGATAACCTCTCACAACAAAGAAATATGCAACATGACGCCGATGCTAAGGTTGAGAAAGCCTAACTTTCGTGAATGCATTTTGTAAACAGTGTGCAACAGACTACTGAATGCCGCTTCTCCTGTTGTCCTAGAATTTCAGCTGAGTTCCCCTAAGCTAAGAACAAGCCAACAGGTACTAAGCATTCTTGCTTTCTAAAGGGATATACTTGGCTGTTGGCTGAGATTGGCTTCTCCAGAAGCAGAATCTGAGCAAAGATGGGAGTGTCTGTTAGAGTCTGGCTCATCTGGGAGGCCACCCCAGGCAGCATTGGTGGGGAAGGGAGGCAGGAGGAAGGGAAAGACCCAATGCATGGTGCATCAATGGGTGAGTTCCACTGTGGGCACTCGGCTCAGTCCTGTAGGAACTGTGAGACATGGTGTAGGACATACCCTGGGGGAGAAGGAGCTGGGATATTTATCCTCCAACTCCCATCCCTCTGTGGCTGAGGGCCTCTCCTAGATGTACTGAATCTCCAGCACTTCTGACCTGCCCGCATGGCATCAGAGGAAGCCTTCAGGTGGAGAGGCTTGCAGTCGGAAGCCATCGTGGGGACATGCTGGTAAGTGCCACAGGGCTCGGAGAGGGCACCAATGGCCCCTGCCACCATCTTCTAGGCACCTCTTCCAATCTGAGCCCTTCCCCCACCTCTAGCTTACAGAAGGCTAAGAATTCAATGGGCCATGGAAGAGATTTGCAGGAAGGACTGACTCAGGGAGAATGTCACTATGAGGGGCGACCCTGGGGGTGGGGCAAGGTATAACCCTCTCACCTTAAGCCTGGTGAGGATGCATCCAGGAAACTCTTGGTGGCTTGGCAGGTGTCTTCTGGGGTCTGGGGAACAGTGACTGCATTTAGTGCTCACCCAGAGAGAAGTAATGATAAAAATCAGACTGGAGCTGCCTGCCTGCCTGGAGGCAGAGCCAAGAGAGGAAAAGGGGTGTTGGGAGTGAGGTGCCCATCATTGAAGAGAGTGGGGATAAGACCGATGCTTTCTGGGTCTAACATGAACCCTAAACAAGGCAGCCAGTGTGGGCCTCCTTGTGTCCCCATCCTGGAAGGGTGAGGGGATCCAGCAGAGGGGAAAGTCAAGAGGCTCAGCAGCTTTGCCCACCTCAAGTACACATTTTTTGCCCACGTCGAGCATTCTATATCTTCCAAAACATAACAGTGCTGTCAAGTTGGACTTTCCTGTGAGAACGAAGCAGCCCACCATGCCCTTCCGCGCTGCAGAATCCCCAGCCTGAGGCACCCAGCTTAGAGAGGGATTAAGTTTCAAAATAAATAATGTTTAGAGCTATATGATTACTAGACTGAACTGCACTTGTTAAGACCGGAAGATTTATGAAAACTTAGCTTTCACCCTGACAAGCAAAAAAAAATGGAGAACATACATGAAGGGGCAGTTGGAGAAAGAATGAAGTTACTCCCTGCTATATCCTTCTGGATCCACCTTTTTGGTAGACTTGTTCCAGTGATAAACACAATGATGGTGATTTATTCCTTTCCCCTCCAATGTGAAGACAAGCCTGCATTTTCACTTGCCCTTCCAGCTGCATTCGATACGCGGAGTTCGTCTGAGGTCCCTACAGCTGGGCCGTCCTCAGCAACTGAGATGAAAATGCAGAGACCTAACAGCAGAGAGGTTGGCCACAGGGCAGAGTGAGGCTCTCTGCTGAGGACTCAAGTAAGATGTCAGGCAGATCCAATCTGAGGAGGCGTGGAGAAGTCGGGATGTCAGTTTGACTCCAGAACGAACAGGAGGTGGAGAGATGCTGACAGGCAGAGGGTTTGATCTGACTGGAACTGGGTGTAGCAGGTCCCCCTCAGGGAGAATTCCACAGGAAA